CCTCTTTAATTTATTCATACTTGTTAGATAATATGGTTCACTTGAGAGCACATTGAGAGATGAAATTCAAGGATTCTGATGTTCATGCTTGATGCTTGCAGCCACGTCTCTATGTTGGGAGGGGGATGCATGAGAGTGCATTTTCTCTCTTTAAGTAAGAGTTCAATTTCAAAAAATGGATGAGGTTGCTGTTTTTAATATAATAATTGGAAATATTGATCTCCCAATTTCTTTCTTGTTTGAAATTTCAGGTATACATTGTTTTGGGTTCTCCTTATCATCACAAAGTTGGCATTTAGTTTTTACATCGAGGTGTGGTTTTTATTTATACTGGAAAATCCAATTACTTAGTTCTGCATTCAAAAAATTAAAATTATTACAACCCAAACTTGTCTTAGTGTTCTTGATGGAAGAGGGAGAAGTCTAATTTTTCAAATACCACTCACTCACTGTCCCCCAAATTTACCAAAAAGGACTGACGTCACATAACTGCAACAAAATTAGCATTTTCTCTAAGGCAATCTTGAATTGGTTTCTCATCTTGATTTGATTCTTGGAAGAACCATAAACCTTCCAAGATTGACTGGAATTTTAGTATGCTTTTAGATTCTAATTCAATCCTTGTAACTTGTTTGAACAATTCTGTATGAGTTTGCTTGAACAGATAAAGCCTTTAGTAGGTCCCACAAAAGCTATTATGAGTGTTCGGGTAACTAACTTTCAATGGCATGAATTCTTTCCTCGAGGTAATGAGCACACTAATCTGTTGTTTACCATCCTTTTTCAGATGAAAATATTCAATGCCTTTATGTTATTTACTTTGTTTATTTTGCAGCCAAGAACAATATTGGTGTTGTGATTGCTCTCTGGGCTCCAATCATTCTAGTATGTGTTATGCATGGTTCATGGTTAAATCCATCTCTCTTTGTTTTATTATGTTTTGGATGATAAAGGTCTAATAAACTGATGTCCTTGTTTTTAGGTCTATTTTATGGACACACAGATCTGGTATGCCATATTCTCTACTTTATTTGGAGGTATTTATGGGGCATTTCGACGCCTTGGAGAGGTTAGTTGAACATTCTAAACTTTATGTTTTTACTAGAATCAAATGCTCTATTACCTTCATTTTTGTATGCCCTAGCTGTTTAGTTAAACTTTTTCCCATATTGCCTTAGATTTGACTAGGTGTTGATTATGGGGCTTATTTATGATATTGCATCCTTTGCTGTTTTTTGAGTGGGGAAAAATAAATTTGGACAATCTTTCTAATTTATGGAAGTTGGAACCAAGCCGAAAACATCTTTGCTTATTTCTTGCTTCATGCTGTGAAAACTTTTTAGGACTACTACAAGAGGAAGTACTTCATGTTTAGGTCCTGGGATGTTTTTTATTGCTCTAACTTCTTCTGTTAATTCCAGATTCGAACATTGGGCATGCTCAGATCTCGTTTTCAATCACTGCCAGGTGCTTTTAATTCCTGTCTGATTCCAGCAGAGAAGGGCGATGTAAAGAAAGGAATCTTGGGTTTTTTTTCTCGAAGCTTTCCAGAGGTTGAACCCTTTCATGACTATTAAATCAAGACTGTGCCTGAATGTAACATGAGCATCACACCTAAAACCAATAAGCTATACATGGAGGAGCCCTTTATCTTTAAGCACACAAGTTCTCTCTCATTATTCTGATGTGTGACTTTTTCCACTTTAACAATTATCATAACTTTAACTCATTGGCTTCTATGATTATGTAATACAATATAAATGCTTTAGCCTTCTGATATTTCATTCTATTTTGCAGGTTCCATCTAACAAAGAGGAAAAGGCTGCTAGATTTGCTCAACTGTGGAACAAAATCATTAGTAGTTTTAGGGAGGAAGATCTAATAGACAATAAGTATATTCTATATGCAACTGAGCTAAATGATACCCTATTGATTGCAATTTCAAACTTATTCCTTTTGGTTTTTTTCATGCTGAACCTGGTTCCATCTTCAGGGAAATGAACCTGTTGCTCGTTCCATACTGGGCTGATCGTGATTTGGACCTAATACAGTGGCCTCCATTTTTACTTGCTAGCAAGGTTAGCTTTAGCACTTTTTTTTCCTCTGCATCTTTGAAGCTGCATGACTTCTGGTCTTAATTCATAATCTTTATGTAGATCCCCATAGCTTTAGACATGGCCAAGGACAGTGATAGCAGGGATAAGGAGCTGAAAAAACGAATTTTGTCTGACTATTACATGAAGTGTGCAGTTCGTGAATGCTATGCATCATTCAAGAGCATTATCAAGAACTTGGTTCATGGGGTCCGTGAGAAAAAGTAAGCACTAGTGGGCTTCTACAGTATATAGCTATAGACATGATCATATTATTTCATCCTTTTTGTTTTTAGCCAAATTATCCTTAATTCATCCAATCTACCATTTTCTAAAATAATGGAATTCATCATGATTCTTTATTTTTCAGGGTTATTGATTACATTTTTACTGAAGTTGACAGACGTTTGGAAGAAGATAATCTAATTAAAGAATACAAGATGAGTGCTCTTCCTAGCTTTCATGAGCACTTCGTCAAGTTGATTGGATTTTTGGTATTTTTCAAATTTTTCCATAGCCAATGAAACTTTTGGTTTCTCCTGAACCATGCCATTGCCATTGCCATAATCAGGAGTCCTGAACCTAGCAAATTTGATTTTTGCAGCTAGAGAATAAGGAAGAGCACCGGAATGATGTAGTAATTATTTTCCAGGACATGTTGGAGGTTGTGATGAGAGACATAATGATGGAGGAGGAGGAACGTGTATCTAGGTGTGTCAAGTTAATTTTATTTTCCCAGACACAAAGTGCATTATAATGCCTAATGAAATTGTTGTTTTTATTGATAGCTTGGTGGATTCTATCCATAATGGTTCTGGACATCAGGGGATGACCCCCATTGAACAACATCATCAGTTATTTGCATCTGTTGGGGCTATTAACTTTCCAACTCCAGTATCTGAACCGTGGAAAGAAAAGGTGAGTTTAATAACATCTTCCAAAGTTGAGAAAGTCTCTCTACTTAATAACTCTTTAACATATGTATTTGCCATTTGTATTGCAGATCAATAGGCTTCATTTGTTACTCACTACAAAGGAATCTGCAATGGATGTACCATCCAACTTAGAAGCCAGGAGACGAATTTCTTTCTTTTCTAATTCATTGTTTATGGAAATGCCTCCTGCACCTAAAGTCCGCAACATGCTTTCATTCTCGTAAGTTATCTTGCTAACTGTGAACTTTTGCATGTCATCTTATTATACATTTGCATGGTCGCCATAATAGGAAACTCCTCTTAGGTCCTAAAATTAGGGTTTTTGGAATTCTACAAATTGATATATTTAATATACTTTGCAGACATGGTAAATGGGTGCATGACAACCTGAGAAAACCAAGAAATGAATTTGAACCAATCAATTTTGGATTGCTTTTCTTGTTTGAATTATTGAAAAATCATACAATTTTCCATTTGATTTCATTATTATTTCATTCTTTAACAAAACTATTGAAGTTTAAATCATGCCATACCTATATAATGATGTTATAATAGCTTATCTGTATCTGAGATTTTATTGCAAGAAGACAAAGACCACAAATTTTCCTGTATTATCCAGTCTTCTGAAGGTCTTCTGACTTGATCTACTAGCTCCATTCTTTATGTTTACAAATCTAAGATATTTTTAAATAACAGTTGAATGGTTTTTGTTCTCTTTATTGTTCGGTTATTTCTCAAAGAAATGGAGAGAGACGTTGAAGAGCTGAAATCCAGTTTCCATTTCAGTTTTCCAGCATTTGTACACAGAGAGTTTAAATTTTGAAATTCAAAAAATACAAGCTAAGGAGCTCTTTTACAACAATATTTTATCATCAAAATAATACACATCATCATCACATGGCTCCAACTAGAAATATGACTAGAAAAGGACACAAAACAGTTTGGTTAGTTTCAGTTTAACCAAACTGAACTTGGGCAGCTTGATGGCACTGATATACTGCTACTGCCACCTAAGTTGCTTCACGTAACTTCCATCATTTATGATGGATGCCCTATGTTTTCTTGAAAGTAGTGACTTTTGCTCATGATGTAAAGTCAGTGGAATTTTCTAATCAACGTTATTGGGTTGAAGCACTAACGCTTTCTAACTACTGAGCACATATTATGCTTACTGTTGCAGAGTTGAACCTGAAACTCTGCTAAGTAATCTGATGGTTCATGATGTATTATGACTAGCTCTGACTAAACTCACTTTGTAAACATGATAAATTGTCTTAAGAATACTGGATGTGTCAATGGCTTCAATTATCATTATTTTTAATGATGACTTTATTCATGGTGGTGAACATTGCTAAAGTGTTACAACTTTCCTTGTAGTGTTTTGACTCCTTACTACACAGAGGAGGTTCTTTTCTCCTTGAGAGATTTGGAAGAGCAAAATGAAGATGGTGTTTCTATCCTTTTTTACTTGCAAAAAATCTTTCCAGGTGTATATCTCCTTTCAGTCTGAGTGCAGGTTGAGAGCTAAATTCCTCACTATTGTTCTGTTGGCACTAATCACCTGTTAATATTGCATAGATGAATGGAAGAATTTTCTTGAACGGGTAAAATGCAAAACTGAAGAAGAACTTAAAGAATCACCAGATTTAGAAGAACACCTTTGTCTTTGGGCATCATATAGGGGCCAAACTCTTACCAGAACTGGTCCTCTTTCTCTCTCTCTCTCTCTCTCTCTGCAAGTGTACCAATATTCATTCTTGTGTTGCAACTGAGTAGAACATTTTATCAAACTTTGAATTGCCAGTTAGGGGTATGATGTACTATCGTGAAGCATTGGAGCTTCAAGCTTTTCTTGATATGGCCAAACATCAAGGTACCCTTTTGCTGATCCTTTTGGAAATGCAGTGCAATTGGGCTGATAATTGTTTCTGAGGCTTTGCTATTGCTTCTTGTCAGTTTCACATATGAATTATAGGATGCTATGAAATTATTTTTGCTCATCCTCTTTTTAATTTTCAACCTGTTCAGATTTGATGGAAGGATACAAAGCTATAGAAATGATTGCAGAGGATGACCAAGGGGAAAGGTCATTGAAGGCTCAATGTGAAGCAGTGGCTGATATGAAATTCACATATGTAGTGTCTTGCCAACAATATGGTATTGACAAGCGGTCTGGTAATGCCCGTGCACAGGACATTTTGGGGCTGATGACAAAGTAATTTGTTGGTCCTATATTTCTTATTGAGCCACCATTCAAATTACTTTCAACCCTTTGATGTATATATATGTTTCCTATTGGCAGATACCCATCCCTCCGTGTAGCATATATTGATGAGGTTGAAGAACCTAGCCAGGACAAAACCAAGAAGATGAATGACAAAGTTTATTACTCTGCTTTGGTAAAGGCTGTCCCAAAGTCCAGTGAGGTTTCAGAGCCAACACAAAATTTAGACCAGGTAATGCTTCATCTGATTTGAAGTTGTAGCTTGCAATTTAGTAGTTGATTCTGTATTATGCCTTGTAGCTTTACTCTCATCTATTATATTGCAACTCTTATGCTAAAGATAAATCAAAAACATCTTGAAAGGTTGAGAAATGCCTTGAGCCTTGATCTACTGCTGCTTTGCAGCTCTTGAGAATTTTTGAAGATGGCCATTTTAACAGGGATTAACCACACTGCCATTTATTTCTATGAAACAATAATGTTGTTATCTTGTTGACATATTGTGCAATTTGTATTTGGAATTTATTCAGCTGCTTTTACTCTCTCTCTCTCTCTCTCTCTCTCTCTCTTCTTCTTCTTGTTCTTTTTTCTTTTCTTTTCTTTTTTTTTTTCTCCCTCTTTTGAGGGGTATTTCTTTGTCTTCCCTGTGAAGAGAACTTTTGATGACTAATTGATTTTTGAAGAAGCTTGTTTGAAGTATTGAAACTTCCCAAAGCCATGGAGCCTACATTTTACATATAATCTAATCTAAGCCTTCCTTTTCCCCAACTAGATGTGAACCTGTGCAGTAAAACTTTTCTTGTCTTCTTGTTTTGGAGAAAAGCAACCTGCTTTGGACTGAAGAATGTTTAGTGTTATTTTATGATATTATTGAGTTTAACATTAATGTACCTGTTAGTTCTGTAACTATTTTATGGGGTACAGTTTCTTTCTTTTCTTGTAGAATTTGAATAACATATCCCTGCAAAAACTTTAAAATTAAATAAGGAGAATTCTCTTTAGTTTGCCAGGAAAACTTTTAGATATTATTCAGGTTAATAATTTTTTAAGTTTTAACCCAAGTGCTCTTGTGATTGTTCTTTTTGGGATTATGCAGAGGCTTTTGGAAATTTCTAATGTTTACTATGTTGGATGCTTTGATTATATATTTTCTGTTGTTAAATTTCTTTTCTTTTCTTTTCTTTTCCTTTCTTTTCCTTTATTTATTTTTTCTTGTGGAAAATTCTAATGTATACTGTGTTGGATACTTTGATGTTATTGCACTTTGGCCTCTCATTTCACTTTCTTAACGTCTAAGCACAGGTCATTTATCGGATTAAGCTTCCTGGACCTGCTATGTTGGGTGAAGGAAAACCAGAAAACCAAAATCATGCCATTATTTTCACTCGTGGAGAAGGCTTACAGACGATAGATATGAACCAGGTCCAGTGACTGTTATGTTGTGTAACTGAAGTGATAATTATCTTCTTTTTGGCACTTTTAATTGTGTTAGGCATTAATTTTTGTAGGATAATTACATGGAAGAGGCCTTAAAAATGAGAAATTTGTTGCAAGAATTTCTTAAAAGGCATGATGGTGTGAGATATCCTTCAATTCTTGGGCTTAGAGAACATATATTTACAGGAAGGTGAGTGGTATTCTGTTTGTCTCTGATTGATATCTTCATTCTTATCATATTTCAAATGATTGCTTATTGAAGATAATCTTCTACTTGGTACAGTGTTTCTTCTCTTGCATGGTTCATGTCAAATCAGGAGACAAGTTTTGTTACTATTGGTCAGAGATTGTTAGCAAACCCTTTAAAGTAAGTTGTTATTGCTTCAACTTATATTCTATGCTCTATGTGTTTTATTTACTGGATTGGAGAGGGGGTGGGGGGTGGGGGTGGGGTTGAGATCTTAGGTCCATTTGGATAAAAGGAAAGCATCAAGTTTTCAATGTCTGTTTAGGTTGTGATGTCAAGTCATTTCTTGCGTCTCATCTGTCATTTTGGAGAGCTAAATGGAACTTTTGAATCATATGAAAATTCACTAGATTTATTTTGTGCCTTTAAATTAAAAAGTTATCAAATCCTTTCTTCTTAAAGCAATTAAGAGTAAGGGAGGTGACTGTGCTATGCCCGCAGCCTCATTTCCAAGGAGTCATCTGTTTTGATGGTTAGATTATTATTACTAATGCTTTGAATTTATTGATTCATGACCCTAAAAATGACGGTTTCTCTCTTTGAATCAAAACATTGAACTGCAACTAGCTATGCATATCATTTTTGGAGGGTCATTAATGCTGCTAATTCTGGTTGCATATTGATAGTGGTTCACATAAATAAATGCTTGGAAGTAATACAATTGAAAGGATAATCATTTTAGTTGGATAACAGGGGTGGGCTAGTGCAATAGCTCCAGTCCCAATTCCTATCAAACTCATGATTGCACAACTCTTACATTACTGTTTCCTTCCAGGGTGCGGTTCCACTATGGCCATCCAGATGTATTTGATAGGCTCTTTCACCTTACAAGAGGGGGTGTCAGCAAAGCATCTAAAGTCATTAATTTGAGTGAGGACATATTTGCTGGTATGGCTGCGTTTCTCCCCTTCCACTTGTGTTATTTTTACTTTGTGACTATGGTTTGAATTCATAAGTATCATCATTCACTTCCAATTCTAGGCTTCAATTCCACACTTCGTGAAGGCAATGTTACCCATCATGAATACATCCAAGTTGGGAAGGGAAGGGATGTGGGTCTCAATCAGATTTCTATGTTTGAGGCCAAAATAGCCAATGGAAATGGGGAGCAGACGTTGAGTCGAGACATATACCGGCTCGGACATCGATTTGACTTTTTCCGAATGCTTTCCTGTTATTTCACCACTGTTGGGTTTTACTTTAGTACTCTGGTATTTGGCAAAATTCTGATCTGTTGAGATTTGAAATTATTTTGCACATACTCTCAATGTACTAAGCATCCTTTTCTTATCTGGCAGATAACTGTTCTCATTGTCTATGTTTTCCTTTATGGCCGCCTCTATCTTGTCTTGAGTGGACTAGAAGAAGCATTGAATCAGCAACCGGCAATTAAAGACAATCAGTCTCTTCAAGTGGCTCTTGCTTCTCAGTCTTTTGTTCAAATTGGTTATCTGACGGCCTTACCTATGTTGATGGAAATTGGGTTGGAAAGGGGTTTCCGAACTGCCCTAAGTGAATTTATATTAATGCAATTGCAATTGGCGCCAGTATTCTTCACATTCTCCCTTGGAACAAAGACACATTATTATGGAAGGACATTACTTCATGGAGGTGCAAAATATAGGCCCACTGGTAGAGGGTTTGTGGTGTTCCATGCCAAATTTGCTGAAAACTACAGATTATACTCACGTAGCCATTTTGTCAAGGGAATTGAGATGATGATCTTACTTATTGTATACGAAATCTTTGGTCAAACTTACAGGAGTGCAGTTGCTTATGTTTTTATCACTATTTCTCTGTGGTTTATGGTGGGCACATGGCTATTTGCTCCCTTCCTGTTCAATCCTTCTGGTTTTGAGTGGCAAAAGATTGTTGATGACTGGACTGACTGGAATAAGTGGATAAGTAACCGAGGGGGCATAGGTGTACCACCAGAAAAAAGTTGGGAATCATGGTGGGAGGAAGAGCAAGAGCATCTTCGACATTCTGGAAAGCGTGGGATCATAGCTGAGATATTGTTAGCTTTACGATTCTTTATCTACCAGTATGGGCTTGTATATCACCTAAGTATTGTGAAGAAAACCCGAAGCTTTTTGGTATGTCCTTGTCCCTGGTTTTTCTGCCATCTTCTTTATTTATTTATTGTATCTAACTAAACATAAATTATTATTCTATAATGCCGGCTGCAAAAGTCAACATTATTTTGTTTCACTTGTTCACAGGTTTATGGTGCATCATGGCTGGTTATTCTTCTGGTATTGTTTGTAATGAAGGTAGGCAGCCATATTATTCAAATGCTAGCCTTGGTATTGCAGGTTCCGTTTTGGTACCTGCATCCTTCATGTAATATTTTATTATGAGTCCGTTATGGATTTTTTTCGCTGCACGGCTATTCTGTCTACTAAGGCATATATAGCTACAACTTGGAATTTCATATGGCTTTACAAATTTTCTTGTGCAGGCTGTATCTGTTGGGCGGCGAAGGTTCAGTGCAAGTTATCAACTGATGTTCCGGCTATTCAAGGGAATGATATTCTTGACTTTTGTTACTATTCTGGTTACCTTGATTGCATTCCCCCACATGACAATTCAAGACATCATTGTATGCATTCTTGCTTTCATGCCTACTGGTTGGGGCATGCTTTTGGTAAGTACTTGCTTTATTATTCCCCCCCCCCCCCCCCCCCCCCCTCCCTTCTTCATTCCTTCTGCTGATTTTATGCACTGATTGAATGATGGCCTTTTATGACTATTCACTATTTAAAATTGAAGTTCTGCCTTCTGTTCCTCTGGATTTCACCAGATTGCTCAAGCGTTGAAGCCTCTTGTTCACAAAGCCGGTTTTTGGGGATCAGTGAAGACACTTGCTCGTGGCTATGAGATTATAATGGGTTTACTCCTGTTCACTCCTGTTGCATTCTTGGCTTGGTTTCCTTTTGTCTCAGAGTTTCAGACTCGCATGCTCTTCAACCAAGCTTTCAGTAGAGGTCTGCAGATTTCTCGTATTCTTGGCGGGCAAAGGAAAGACCGTTCATCGCGTCACAAGGAGTAATCTCACTAATAGCCAGTATTGTATCTATGTCGATGTCACCTCCGCTCCCCTAGTTTAGTTCTGTCTGTGGAAATGTTGTTCATAGCTGCTTTAGTGGAATACTGAATGATTCTTCTTATGCATTACAAAAGGAACTCTAAATCTATTTTTTTTCCACTTCAAAAAAATTGCTTGACCCAACCAGAATCATCTGAAAGTAATCTATTCTTGTCCAGAAAGGAATATAGCTTTCTCTGGAATTTGAACAAAACAGTAGGAGTGCGGAAATTATACACTTTAACGTCTAAATAGAATAAAAGACTTCCCATCAACAATTTAGCTACAATTATGTCTCAAAAATGGGACATATTATCCTCGGTCTAATTTACTTTTCCCATGTCATATTTTTTCTATAGAAAGATTGTTCAATTTATTTGTTGGTTTCAATATTTACCTTACAAATGCGACTTTGAAGTCAAACTTTCTGTCTGAGTCAAGGGAAATGAAGGAGAGGAAAAAAAGAGGGAATTCTCATTCCCCTTTCTCTAATTTTCTTACATCTAAGTAGGGAATTTTTTTTTTTCGTTCTCTCCCCTCCCTTTTCTTTCATTCTCCTCTATCGAAGTATACTAGAAAGGTACAAGATCTTTGTACTGTCCTCTAGTTAGTAGCACTTTCCGAGCGGTAGAAACCAGAGCACGTCTAGTCGGCATTCTTCATGAACTTCATGAAGTTGTACCTTCAAACAAATTCATCATTATTGCTTTATACCTTCCTCTTTTGGATTATGTATTCCAGTATGTTTTAAATTAGTATTGTCAATCTTTCTTAGAAACCTCCTACTACAGACTACAAGCAATACAACTTCAAACAAACGCAACGCAATCAAGTCAATCCAAGAAGCGAAAGAGGAAGTTTCATTCATTTGGACTCTTTTTTGGAACTTCTTCACTAATAAACAGGCTTAAATTAGGTACGCTAATCATTGCAAAAACCATAGTGTTTAAACTCAACTAACATTATCGTGTGAAACTCCTTTCATTAAAAAAAGGTGGGGAAATGGAAATTAATATCGATCTTTCTCCTCCATTGAAAAGTAAAAAGAAAAAAAAAAATTTGTCTTTGTCCTTCCAACACTCTTAGTTTGAC